AAGGGTGAATGAAGAAGCAAAGTAAAATATTATTATGAAATATACAAAGGCCTGGAATTAGAAAACCAGAAAGGAAGAGCACACACAATGACTTCCAGCTGCAGTATTCAAAGAGCACATGTGTAAAATGTTGAGTGACATAGGAATGACAAAAGACTAAGGAATAAGTGTCACAGTACCAAAAGTCTTTGATTGCTTTCAAATATTTCAAGAGGCACCGTTTAATCAAGAAATAATGTTACTAAAGGAAGAAGCTCAAGTTTCATTGAAGGATTGGTAAAAATAAGGCTCCAAGAATTGACAGAACAGATGACATAGATTCAAACTATAAATAACATTACAAATAAGGGGAAGAGCAGAATATTTAACTATGTTTATGAAGAACCTGTACACAGACCAAGAGAATGTTTGATCAGATGGATTATATTTCAATTTAAAGTAAATTAAAATCTTCACAACTGGACCAATCAAAGAGTCATGCTAAACAAATTATACATTGAAGTTTTCCATGATTGAAATTCATTTGGATCTACAATCAACATCCATGGAAACAAAAATAAAGAAAACAAATGACATGTTTTACAGAACAAATCTGCTATATGTAAATCAAGAATTTGAAGAACAAAGATGTCACTTTGAAGAGTAGTGTGCACCTGACTTAGTGGCATAGTGGTTATGCTGTTAAATGCCAGGTCAGCAGTTCGAAACATCCAGCAGCTCCTTGGGCTAAAGACCAGGCTTTCTACTCCTGTAAAGAGTCACAGTCTTAGAAACCCATAGGAACAGTTCTTGTCCTCTCACAGAGGATTGCCAGCAGTCCACATCGTCTTGATGGCAGCAAGTTTGCTTGTATTTGGTTTGGTGCAACACACCGAAGTCATGTATGTTATTTTGGACAGACTCACCTACATGTGATAGATGGTCAATTAATAAGAAATTAAAAATGCCATACTTTACATTTTTACTGTTGGTGAAGAACAATGAATGGGTGACCCAAAGAACAAACAAATCTGCCTTGGTTGAAGCACACTCTGAATTGCCCTTAAAAGCAAGGAATGTAAAACTCTGTCTCACATACTGTTGCCTTATTCTCAAGAGGGACTAATCCCTGGAGAAGGACTCATGCTTGGTAATGTGGTTGATGGGTGAAAAGGAAGAAGACCTACAACGCTAATTAATTAACAGACCCACAACACTAATTAATTAACACAATTGCTGAAGCATTGTGATGAGGCATAACAATAATTGCAAGAATAGATTAAATCTGTCAGAGTTTTGCTATGTTACACTTAGGGCTTCTATGAGTCAGAACATTCTCCATGACACATAAAACAATGTAACATACATAGGCCAATACCTCTAATTTTATGGATTAATGTATTTACACACCTATGCTTATACCTATATCCATAGTTTTGCTTCCTAGATCCTTCCTCTGTTTCCTTTTACTTTCCTCCTGCCCTACTATCATGTCCCCCTACTTCCATCTCTTAGTACTTACTCTCAGCTCAATTGCTGTTGCTCCAAACCCACACAATCTCTTCATCTTCCTTGTTGACTTTAATTCCCTAGTTGTTCCCCTGTTTATGGCATTGTTTATTCACTACACCCTTCCCCCGCCACCTTCTTCTCCCCGCAAGTCTCTCCAGGATGATCAGTTCCATTGCTTTCTCCTTGAGCTTGTTTCCCATGCATGGCTTATGTAAATTGGCAAACCAACAAAGACCTAGACCAAAAAAAGGAAAAGATTGAAAAAAGAAAAGGAAAAAAAAAAGAGAGAAAATCCATACATAATTCCAGGTCTGTCTGCTGACCTTTTGACTATCTCCCCAATGGTCCTGGGTGAATTCAGGGAGCTGCCCCTCTTAGCCTGATGTCAATTTTGGGGGTTCTTTCATGGCTTTTGTGGCTTAGTTTGGTTCCAGTTGCTGAGGGAAAAAAGAGGAGCTGCTACCAGGAGTTCAATAGAAAGTAAATGTCTTGAAAAGAAGAATGGCAACATCTGTACAAATATACCTTACAAAATTGATGTATGGATTGCAGTAAGAGTTGTAAGAGTCCCCAATAAAATGATCTTTTAATAAAAATTTTTAATTATTTAATGTGAAATTTTGCATGGGAGCATATAGGAATATTTTGAGGCTAGACTTGTTGGATTATGCAAAGAGTCATAAAATAGGCTGTAAAATTTTTCATTTGCCTCTTGGATGTCTGGAGAAGGTAGTGAAAGTAAGACTATGAAGAATTTAAGCATTATTGTTTGGAGAGCATGACTTCTGTAAAACTTTTAATGAAAATAAGAAAGACAAAGAAGGAAGACTTGATTCATCATTGAAAATAGTTTATACAAGATAAGCAAAATTAATGAGTAAATAAGAAAGCAAAACATTATTTTCCCAAGCAGAAATTGATTTAGCTTGCATGCAATCCTACTGTTTGAATAAGTAGAGTTATATAAAAGGAAATTATTAATCATTATTTGATCATTAATCAAATAATATTCTTTTGATATTTGATTAATGATTAAATAATGATTTATAATGATCACATTTAATTAAGGAGGATATGGTCCTGGAGAGTGAGGAAAAAGTGAACACCTTTAGGAGGAAAATGTGGTTTTTATTACTTACTTATTGATTCTGGAAAAAATTGTGGAAAACCTTCATTATGAACATTGGTTCCACCATGCTTAAATATGAGCCTACCAAATTTTACTGAACCATAGTTCAAGCAAGTCAAACAACTAGGACTCATTACACATCCACGTTTTTATAAACCTCCTTTATATGCTAATTACTTGAAATTTTTAAAATCATAGGGAAGTGTTATAATTCCAGAAAACTAAAAATAGGTTTAATGGATTATTTATTTCAAATGAAGACGCTGAATTAAAATAAAATATGTAAATTATTTATATCTCAGCTAGGACATGATTTCCACATATAAACCTTATATCAATTTATGAAGTGAAAATAAAAATTTATTTTATTCAAACAGGAATACAATAGGTAATAAAATTACAAGAATTTTGTTGTTGTTAGTTTTGGTTTGTTATGTATTAAAAATCAGAGATCTTTATTGGTGTCTTAAAATATTATAAAATGTATACTCACATATATGTATTATATATGTGTATATGTATTTGTGTATATAGAGTGATATATGCATAAATAAGTAGCATGAATAAGTAAAACCATAAGAATAAGTAATGATTAAGTGTAATGGTTAAGTGTAAGACTCTTTGTTAAGGTGTCTCTTAGTGGTGAAATAGTTAATACTGGACTCTGTATTCTCACCATCGTCATTTGATGTTGCTTACATAAATTAATATTTTGCCAATGGAGACCTTGAATATTGAAGTTAGAGGTTTTGAGACCATTCAAGGCTTATACTTGGAGGTTTGAGACCATCCAACATTTATAGGAATAAATGTCTTAAAATTTACTTCTGAAAAATCACCCACTGAAAACCTAATAGCAAAGCTTTACTCTGGCACTCACTGGGTTCCCAGGAGCCAGAGTTTACTTGATGACAACTGGTCTTAGCCAAGTTAAACTATAAATGTGCTGTTATTTTCACTGTGCTTTGCCACCAAGTCAAATCGAAATCATAGTTATGCTATGTACAACAGAATGAAGCACTGAGAGTCCTGCACCATCCTCACAAGTGTTCTTGTTTGAGACTCAAGTCACCTGGTCCACAAAGGTCTCTCTTCTTTTTCACTGTCCCTCTACTTTATCAAGGCCAAGTCTCTCCTGACAACAAGTGCAATGTTCTCCACCACTACCTCCAAGGAGTAATCTGGCTGGAGTCCTCTCAATATAATTTCTTGTTGTTCTTATGACAGTCCATGGTACTTCCAATATCCTTGCCAGCACCACCGTTCAAAATGCATGATTCTTCTCTCATCTTCCCTATTCTGTGTCCAACTTTCATAATAATATTACTATCATTTGTGATTTTCTAAAGACTTCTGATGAATAGTGGTTTTGCGTTGTGCTTCTAACTGAAAACTTGAAAATCCAAACCCACCAGATAATCTGCCACCTGATTCAAGGGAGAAAGAGAAGCCTTTTTGTTCCTGTAAAGACTTACAGCTTCAGAAACCCACAGGGACCCAGCTACTCTGTTCTAAAAGGTTTCTATATTTTGAATCAACTTGATGAAAGTGAATACACATATATAGAATTAGAAAAACATGATTAAATCTCTACTTTTAATAAAGCTGAGAAAATATATATTGAACTTAACTAAATTTTCATTTTTGTATTTGAAATGTGATGTCGACATATCTCAATTGGTAAAGAATTTCAGAAGTAAGGCATTTTGTTTCATAACAGCACTATCTGAATGAGCAATAAAGATAAAAATCAAGTTCTTATTCAAGATATATTATTGACAGGATAGCTATAACTATTCATTTAGACATTTAGGCTGTGGAAGTAAGAAAAACAAAATAAAATATCTATGACAACAAAGCGTAATTTCTGGTAAAAAATCAAGAGAAAAATCAATATAACTCATAAGTTTATTATTTACTAAGTTACGAAGTGAAAAGTAATTTGTCCATTATAAGGAAAAGACAAAGTAAGGAAGGTCTCAAAAGTCGGTTTACATGGCACTATTGGGATTTTCAGTAGGGAATCCAGGGCTAGGATTCATTGAAAAGGTGTCACCTGTGCAAAGATTTGATTCAGTAAGGAATGTGGAGGTAAGATTTTCAGACTGCTTGAAGCCAACATCCAATTCAATATGCTGAATTCCAGTATTTGCTTAAGATAAATGAGAATCTTATAAAATATGTCAAGTTGAAGAGCTGGACCACATTTCTTGGACTTTGGTTATGAAATTCACTTCATTATCTTTTATTTTAATATATAGAAGTATGTTTGGAATATGCCTTGTTTTTGTTTGTTTTGTTGTATTGTTTTCCTTTTCCATCCAGCTCTCTTATTTATTTATTTATATATTTCATTTTAGGTAAAATAAAAGGATTTACGATGGGATTTCAGAATCAAACTTACAGCAGTGACTTTATTCTACTGGGACTGTTCTCTTCCTCTCTAACAAGCCAGATATTCTTCTCGTTTCTTTGTGTCATTTATATTATGACTGTAACAGAAAACACAGTCATGATTCTCCTGATCCGTAGAAACATACGCCTCCACACTCCTATGTATTTCTTGCTCAGCCATCTCTCTTTCATGGATATCTTGCATATTTCCAACATTGTTCCTAAAATGGTTGCTGACTTCCTGTCAGGCAGCAGAACAATTTCATTCATAGGTTGTGGCTTCCAGATATTTTTGTCCCTCACTCTCTTGGGTGGTGAATGCCTCCTCTTGGCAGCAATGTCCTATGATCGCTACATAGCCATTTGTCAGCCACTGCATTACCCCATTCTTATGAATGAATATGTCAGCATTCTCATGGCTGGTGGGTCCTGGCTTGTGGGGACATTCAACGCCACAGTTCACACAATTTATGCTCTCCACTTCCCCTTTTGTGGCTCAAGGGCCATTGATCACTTTTTCTGTGAAGTCCCAGCCATGTTGAAATTGTCCTGTATAAACACATCACACTACGAACGAGTCATTTATGTTAGTGGCATCATATTCCTAGTCATCCCTTTTTCCATGATTTTTGCTTCTTATGTTAAAGTTCTTCTTACTATCCTCCAAATGAAATCATTAGAAGTACGGAGAAAGTCCTTTTCTACTTGCTCCTTCCACATGATTGTGGTCATGATGTACTATGGACCATTCATTTTTACATATATGAGACCAAAGGTCTACCATACCTCAGGCCAAGATAAGCTCTTGGCAATATTTTATACGATCCTCACTCCTACACTCAACCCCATCATCTACAGTTTTAGAAATAAAGATGTTCAGGGGGCAATGAAAATTATGCTTGAAAGTATCTTTCTGCCTAAAAGACTAATGTAAATAATGCTTGATCAGCTATTTCTGTTATTATATTCAAATCTAAAAGAAGGTCCATTATTAGTTTCCTCAGAGAGGAAAATTGGAATTTCATTTAAGCACTACACCGTCACTATTTCTCCAGTTATAGAAAAACATAGAATCACAAAGAATAAAATCGTCGTATTTGCTGCACTTGTGAATATTTACTTATAACAATGCATATTCTCTCTGTGGCATTAATAATAACTAGTTGAATCAATTATAGGAATTAAAAGTTAATCCAAGTTTCCAACTCATCAAATGAGAAAGTCATGGTTTGTAAGAATTGTCTTTTAAATTACAATCATGAATGCTCATTACTTTAGAAACATGTACCCATGTGATGTTTGTATTTCTATGAAACTTAGTAAAAATGTACTCCAACTCTTACATTCAATCATCAAAATTCCAAAACTCCAAATAAAATCTCCATCATTTTCTTCATTTACAGGATATGCAAAAATATTCAGATTACTTACTGAAAATATGCATATATATGTATATAACACCACACCAACATACCAAGATATAGTTTGTGTGGAACAAAATTGAAATTTTGCTCACAACAAAAATACCATTTTGAGAAGAATATTCTGAAAACTGTCTTGTTTCCAATACATTTATGTTTGTATATTATAAATTCTCCTTGTAATTTATCCTAAAAATTAACAGAAGGTAGAAAATAGTCATGTCAATGAAGAAATAGTTACATAAATTTGTTAGATTACAAACCTATTAATATAAATTACATTTTCACAGGAACCTTATTAAATATGTTAATTCAATACATTAAAATATGTAAAAAATAAAGTTATTATGTAAAATCTTAAATGGAGAGATGATATTTCTTTATCTACCACAACTGAAAATTTGAAAATAAGAAAACTGTGTTAGTAAAATTTTGTTGAAATTGTTGCCATAATATGTGATATGCAGGTATATGCTTGAAAATATATCTGACAATGTACACGACAGCTTCACTAAACAAACAAACAAACAAACAATCAAACACCACCATCAAGTCAATGATGACACATAGCTACCCCTTGTGGGATTCTGAGATTGTAACAGTTTATAGGAGCAGAAAGCTACTTTCTCCCACGGAGCTGATGGTGGTTTCGAACTGCTGACCATGAGGATCGCAGTTCACTGCATATCCACTACACAACCAGGGCTCCTAAAGCTTGGATAGATAATTGAATATTTGTACATTAATTATAATTATCAAAATTGGTAATATTGATGTATTATAAATATATATTTTAAAAATAATTTCTTGCTTCATATCAGGTTAAATTTAAATAGTTAAATCTATTTCTGTAATACTTAAGTCCTTAATGGGTAAAGGAGTTTTATTTAATACAGATTAAGCAGATAGTTTTATAGCATAATGTAATATTATGCGAAAAGTACTAGCATAATTAAATACAGAGGTGCAGACTGGATTCAGAAGAGGACGTGGGACAAGGGTTAACATTGTTAACATCAGATGAACCTTGAGTGAAAGCAGAGACTATCAGGAAGATGTTTACTTCCGTTTCATTGACTTGCAAAGACATTACACTGTGTGGAGCATAACAGATCATAGATATCCTTGAGAAGAGGGGCAATCCCAGAGCCCTACTTTGTGCGTATGTGGAACCTGTACACGGGGCGAGAAGCAGTTGTGCAATTAGAGCAAGGGTGGACCAAATGATTTAAAATAAGGAAAGGTATGCCTAAGGGTTTCTTCCTCTCACCATATTTATTAAATCTGTATGCAGAGCAAATAATGTGAGAAGCTCGATAATAATGAAAATCCAGTATCAGGATTGGAGGAAAGCTTATTAACAACTTGTAATATTCAGTTCACACAACCTTGCTTGCTGAAAGTAAAAGGACTTAAGGTACGGTACTTGCTAATGAAGATCAGGGACTTCAGCCTTCAATGTGGATTATAACTTAATATAAAGGAAACCAAAATCCTTACAAATGGACCAGTGGCTGGCAGCATGAAAAAATGGAACAAAGATTGAAGTTGGCAAGGGTTTCATCTTGCTTGGATCCAAAATCAATACTCATTGAAGCTGCACTCGCAAGATTAAATAATGTATTGTGTTGAGTAAATCTGTTTTTCAACATTTTTTTCAGGTGTTGAAAAGCAGGGAAGTTACTTTGAGGACTAATATCACCCTGACCCAAACTATGGTAGTTTCAATCGCCTTATATGTATATGAAAGTTGGACATTGAATAAGGAAGACCTAAGAAGAATAGATGCATTTGAATCATGGTGCTGGGGAAGAATATTGATAGTTCCATGGACTGGTAAAAGAACAAACAGATCTGTCTTGTAAGAAGTACGGCCAGGTGTAAGGCATCATCAGAACAAAAAATCTTACCATAGTGAATGATGGGGGGAGTGCAGAGTGGAGATCCAAAGCACATTAGTAGGCCACTGGAGATCCCCTTGCAGAGGGGTTTCGGGGAGGAGATGAGCCAGTCAGGGTGCGATGTAACAATGATGAGAAATACAACTTTCCTCTAGTTCCTAAAGGTTTCTTCCCCGCTCCCACTACCATGACTCGAATTCGATCTTGCAAGTCTGGCTAGACCAGAGGAGGTGGAGGTACACTGGTACAGATAGGAACTGAAAATACAGGGAATCCAGGGCGGATGAGCCCTATAGGACCAGTGGTGTGAGTGGCAAAACAGGGAGGGTAAAGGGAGAATGGGTAGGAAAGAGGGAACCGATTACATGGAACTGTGTGTGACCTCCTCCCTGGGGGACAGACAACTGAAAAGTGGATGAAGGGAGATGTCGGACAGGGCAAGATATGACAAAATACCCATTTATAAACTATCAAGGGCTCATGCGGGAGGGGGGAGCGGGGAGGGAGGGGAAAAATGAGGACCTAATGTCGGGGGTTTAAATGGAGAGAAAATGTTTTGAGAAATGATGTACAAATGCGCTTTACACAATTGATGTGTGTGTGGATTGGGATAACAGTTGTATGAGCCCCTAATAAAATGTTAAAAAAGGAAGAAAAAAAAACAGAAGAAGTACGGCCAGAATGCTCCTTAGAAGCAAGGATGGTAATACTTCGTCTCAAATAATTTGTTCCTGTTGTCAGCAGAAGCCAGTCCTTGGAGAAGGGCACCATTCTCTATAAAGTAGAGGCACAAAGAAAAAGAGGAAGATCCTCTACAAGATGGATTGACACAATGGGCTCACACATAAGCACACTTGTTGAGGATGGAGCAGGACTGGGCAGTGTTTTGTCCTGTTGTCTAGAGGGTCATATGAGTTAGAACTGACTCAATGGCCATGAATAACAGTAACAACTGAATAAGCTAGTGTTAATCTATCAATCACACCATACGTATTAAAGCCTCCCTTTACAACTCACAATCTCACCTGGCATGGACTCAACACCATAAAAATGTCAAATGTCTGTAATTACTAATTGCCAAGAAAACAAAGTAAATTCCCACCAAAACACATCTAAGGAAACCTCTTTGGAAAGTTTAGTGTCAGAATAGACGTGGATTTCTAAACTAATATAAAAAGAAAACAAAATAAAGCTGTTGTAACATAGACAAATGTTTTTTGTTTAATTGGAACATGAGAACATAGACAAAATGTCTATTTTGAGATGGTGGAGAGTATAAGACATTTTTTATTTGCCTTGTTCAAAAAGTGAAATCTTTGGAGGTATAGAAATATTAGAGCTAAGTGGAAATATAAAATTAAGAAATAACAAGTTTAAAACTTAACTCAAGTTTTGTGCACCTATCTCACTCCCACTGCCATTGAGTTAAGTGGCATATAAAATTATTGCAATTCACATTCCGAAGAGGTGAATTTACATTAGCGATGCTCAGGAATATATGTGATTCTTTTTCATTGAACAGCCTGTGAGAACAGACTACAGCTGGAAATGCTGTTTATAATTGTAAGGCAAATAACCATTGCACAAACCATGACATTATGTTGTGCTAGTGCAAAAGAAATTAATTGGGCAAAATTTTTATGCATTTCTGTTGTTTAAGAGAGCACTCCAAAGATTTACAGAGTCACATTGCCTAATGTAATGAAATACAATTTTACAATCTTCCACACACTCCCAGTAAGAGTTCCATTCTCTGAAATCCACAGGGTCAGATCAACTGCTATGACTCACACTGGACTTAACAGAAGTATTTTTGCTTATACTTCATTCCTACTTTTAATATTAAAGTTTATAATTTACTAAAATCATTATCATGAAAATGATGTAGAGATTCAAGTAGATGTGCTAGTCAAAAGTTTTTATTAAATTAAATTTATCTTACATTGTGCCCATTTGTTTTATCACCAGACTATTCATACATATGTGCATTTCTTTTTGAAAAATATTGTTAGAATAAATGAATCTTAAAACGACAAAGTTAATAATGCTCTGTCAGAATTATTTCAATATGTGTAAAGAATTGCTGTCTTTTTCATCTGAAAATAGATGAAATTAAAAAGTAGAAAAATCAATCATTTATAAATATGCAAATATAGACATTAACATGATATGAATTTTAAAGTAATGATAATATACTTATGTATTAGTTTTGATTGATTTAAAATATGGTGAGAAGATTTCAAATTTTGGAACTTTATTTTATTTCAAATTGTTAAAAATATCTATGTATTTCAAAAATGAATTATTGGAAAATGAATCCTTTTCTTTATTTCAAAGGAATAAAAAAAATGCTAAAAATACAAACCATATATATTCATTTTATCCAGTTATATTTTATAGATATTTTCCTTGATAATAAATATAGCAGATTCTTATGTTTTCATACCAGACATCATCTTCTAATGCCTGGTTGATGAAAATTTAATGTTAGTGGATTTATTGCTATTATTTTTCTCTTGCTTCAAAGTATGCTGTTATAAAAAATTATTGAAGTAAGAAAAAAAACTAAGCGCCCACTCCAGAAGTGGGCAAAGGACCTGAACAGAAGTTTC